GGGCGGGCCTGGGGCAGGGATGCTCTTTGCACTGACAAAAGCTTTTCCTGGGAATAGTTTCTGGAACAACTGTTAGGCTTTGAAGGGCGAAATCTGATTCCTGGGAATGGAATTGCTCACTACTGGAATTTTGAGGTTTAGGTTCTTAATTCGAAAAGTCAAAATCGGTGATCTCCACCCTCCTAATTTCACGGGTCTATAAGGCGGATCGAACGAGAAGTATTTGCTACAGTGCTTTGAAAAGGGGAAAAATATATTTTTTTATGTATTTATTTGTCTTTATTTTATGTGTATGAGTGTTTCGCGTGAATGTATTTAAGGGCATCCAGGTCATGCAGTGCCGGCAGGGGCCAGAAGAACCCGTGGGACCCCCTGGAACTGAAGTTTTGGATGATTGTTGGCCGCCATGTGAGTGCTAGGAACAGAACCTGGGTCCTCTGCAGAAGCAGCCAGTGCTCTTAGCTGCTGAGCCAGGCATGGTGGCACACCCCTTTAAACCCAGCACTTGGGATGAAGAGGTAGGTGAATTTCTGTGAGTTGGAGGCCAGCCTGATATACATATCAAGTTCTAGGCCAGGCAGGGCTACATAGTGAAACGCCATCTCAGAAAAACCCAAAAAACAAAGCATAAACAAGCAAATAGTGGCAAAAGCTGAAACCAAGGACAGACATGTAATAGGTAATCTAAATGGACACAAGGTACTTCCAGTTGAAGTGTACATTGTTACATCCTTTTTTGGAGACCAATTTAACACTATGTGTCAAAAGCCTTAAAATGAGCATCATACACACAATCACTGTATGGAATCCATTTATGAGAGATATCAAAACTAATCACACGCTAGGAAGCATAAAGTGGAATGGAGATCTCTAGGGGCTGGAGGAGAGGGAAAGGAGAGTTGTCCTATAATGGATATAGAATTTGTTCTGCAAGATGGAATTCTAGAGATCTGATACTTTTGTATATAGACTTTAAAAACAGCTAAAATGCTGGACTTGTAATATCAGCTACTGGAGAAGCTGAGGCAGGAGAATCACATGTTGAATGCCAGCCTGGTCTGTATACAGAGTGAGTTCAAGACCAGCCTGGGCAACTTAGTGAGACCCTGTCTCAAAAAAGCAAAAAGAGGGCGGGGTGTGGTGGCCTGCACCTTTAATCCCAGCACTCGGGAGGCAGAGGCAGGCTGATCTCTGTGAGTTCAAGGCCAGCCTGGTCTACATAGTTCCAGGACAGCTGGGGCTACAGGGAGACACTGTCTCAAAAAAGTCTAAAAAAAAAAAAAAAGTAACAATAAACTGAGATGTGTATTCTAAAAAATAACTTTTTTTTAAGAAGAAGCATTTCATTACAGCTTTAACATATTCAGTAACACATTCCAGAGCAAGGATACATCTCTTTCAAAGGTGGCTGTAAATTTTTAGGTTCACAGTTGAATTAATACAGTCATACAATATTGAACTCAGTATAAACCCCTGGAGAGAGGCCTGTGGGTCAGAGAATAACATATTTTTAAAACAAACAGACTTCTTTAAAAAAATGACTACATAAGGGCTGGACGTGGTAGCCTTTAATCCCAGCACTTGGGAGGCAGAGGCAGGCAGATCTTGTGAGTTTGAGGCCAGCCTGGTCTACATAGTGAGTTCCAGGACAGCTAGAGCTACAGGGAGACCCTGTCTCAAAAAGACCAAAAAAAAGACTACATAAGGTGGAATCCCACTCAAACTGGCCAACAACCCATGGAAAACAGGTGATGCAGAGATCCCAAAGTTCAGTGCCTTGCCACAACAGGAGGAAGATCATCCCACACCTACCACCCCCTCCAAGGCTCAGGAACTCTTGTGGAAAAGGTTGGAGGAGAGAATGTAAGAGCCAGAGGAAGGGCGGAGTGTTAACTGGAAATGTCCTCCAACCACTATACAGGCAAGTTATAGTCACAGCTCCTTCCCACTCTCTTCGAGGAGTGAGGGGGGGTCAGTTACTCCTCCCACCCAGTCATTGGACCTTAGCTGCACGTGCGGGAGGGGCAAAGGATATGTAAGCTGAGAACACCAAGAGGCACCTCTCTTATGATTTTGTGCGGCTGTTGGGAGGTCACAGGATCTGTATTTGAGTGTGAACTTTACAGTGCAGCGTAAATGTGGGGTGCCCACTCTTCTGTAAATAAACCACTACCCTATGCTCTGTTAAGAAAAATGACTACACGGTTTGGTGGTGCACGCCTATAATCCCAGCACTTGGGAGGCAGAGGCAGGTGGATCTTTGTGAGT